CCAGCTCCCTGCGGTGGCAAGTGGGGACTGCCCAAATCTCTCCAAATCTTTTCCGAATTGATTCAGAGAGCTTTGAATCGATTCAGACCTTTTATTGGTCTCCCGATTCAATTCAGAGATTCAGCCACCAGATCAGCACCCAAAGCTTCACACAGCCCTAGAATATGCTATAACTGCTGCCCCAGAAGGAACCTCACAGAACCAAGATACTATTCCCAACAAAAAATTGAAAGGAAATAGATCTGTTGACTGGATTGATCAGGTGATTACCCAGGAGAACCAGACTTTTACTTATTAAGTGGATAGTTCATGAAAATCAATAACCATTTATCCTGAATTAATTTGGATGGAGGCCTGTCAGTTCAGTGCGTCTTCTGTATATCAAAGAAAACCCTCATCCAAATTGTTGCCAGAATCACTTTTACAGACACATCTGCTTTCCTCTGAAATTAGTCCTGCCAGAGTAGGAAAGAACTCTAGCAGGACACATAGAACTAGATGGTGCTGAATAGCTACTATAAAAGAAGTTGCACCTCCAACTTTCCTCTTCCATCTGCCATGTAACCTATTATGCCTAGAAACTTTTTGTGACATTCTCCATGTTTTAATACATTTTCCTCAGAAATCTTCCTTAAGTTCCACTTTTTCCAAAAGTCTTCCTGAAAAGAGAATATATACATATTTTTTAAATCCCAATGAAAAATAGTGGAACCTAGTATATTCTACACTAAACTGCACTGTATCTCTTATTTGTATTTTTTTTTAGAACGCATGTTCTTTAAGGTAGAGGCTTTGTCTTCTCAATATTAATTACGTACCTAATGGAGCATTGGTACTGTAATATTGGTGTAACCATCCAGGGAAGCTGATTTGCTATCAATATTCTCTTGATAAATAGAGAAGTTCCTTCTCAAAAAGCAAAAATTTCACTTTAGGAAGGATCCCCATAACAAATCTGATAGCCTGGAGATAAATTTAGCCACAAAAAACACTTATTGGGAAATACATGGAGGCATTTTATTTTTATAACAACCTAATTTAAATACTAAAAATAGTTTTTTCCATTTTAAAACAGAACAAAGAAATGAGCTACAGCACTTATGCAAAATATGCTATCTATCTAGCAGTAGATTGTTTGTGTAAGTTGTAGGATGAAAAGTTTTAGTGATGGCATGTTTGTCTCAGTCATTTTTGGACATAAAATGAGTTCTGGCAGCTGTGGAAACTTTTCTTTCATTTGGAAATGTGAATCATTTCAGTTGGGATTATAAAAATTGCCTTCCTTTTGACATTTTGAATAATTGTGCAGCTGAAGGTAACATTTAGTTTAGTAAATGCAACTCCTGTTTTACTTCTCCAAAGCAATATTCAATCCAGTAAAGTGCTCTCCTCTTTTTATATCACTCTTTTTTTCTGTTTGCTACATGAATTGGCAAGCAGATACCTGTTTCCTTTCATTGCTGACATCAAGCAATTTATTCTTTTTAAGCATGAATATTTTTAAACAAAATTCATTGTTTTACATAATCCACATAGATTCATGCTTTCCTACATCTAATAACTAACAGTTTCTCATTAATGAAGTTTTCATTTTAACTCTTATCCCTCAACATTTTATAATGCAATAATATCAAAATAACAGTTATTATAAGTCTTTTTGTACACAAGCCATATTTTACAAAGGGTCTAAGACTTTCAAAACTGATTAGTGCTTTTGGGTGCCCAAGTTTGAGTTACCTATGTGAAAGAGAGTGTGGCACTTCCTGAAAATCAGACTCTTCTAATATTTGGCAGTTTAGGCACTCAAAAGCATTATCCCCTTTTGAAAATCCAAGGCAAGGTAATTTTATTAGTGGTAGAATTTCATTACTCACTGTATATAGACTGCTATAGACCACCAAAGTCTTCACCATTTGGATGACACACAAAGCAC